TTTCTTATTCACTAGTCGACTCCCTACAGTTTCTCCAGTTTTTTTCAAATTCCATGTCAAAACACCTATCATTCTATCATCTTCTCTAGAGCTCCTCCCCATGCTCATGGTCCATTTTTACATTCCTGGCTTTGGTAGTTATTCCAGACATATACTCACATCTACAGATTAGAGCTGTGATCCACAAAGAAGACAGAACATGCGGCATTTGACTTTTTGAGTCTGGGTTACCTAAATTAGTATACTTTCCAGTTTTTTCCACTTACCTACAAATTACATTATTCATTTTCCCTTTAGCTGAATGTAATTCCATTGTGTATATTTAGTATAGTTTCATTATCCATTCACTATTTGAAAAACATTTAGGTTGTTTCCATTTCTTGGCTATCCTCAATAGAGCAGTAATGAACATGACTTAGCAGTTATCTGTAGATAACTATGGCCAAAGAGTGGTATGACTGGGCCATGTAGCAGATCTACTATTAGCTATAGTTTAGGTTCTTGAGAGCTGTGAGTTTCCTACAAGCTGTTTTGTTTATATTCACCCCTAACTTTTCTCAGATCCACCCATATTCATTTCCTTTAAAATACTGTCAATGCTTATTTGTGATGCCCAAAATAATTTTGGATGTGTGGTCTTCCACTGGATCATGGTTGATTTATCAAGGTCAACACTCTTAGAAAAAAAATTGACCCTCCTTTCCCCAATGCTGACAGTTGTCAGTTGTTCCAAGGACAGTGATAAGTTTGTGTTTCCAGCTTACCTTTCCGTGCTGAGATTGGTCTTACTTGTGCTTGCCCAGATTTTGTACATGGTGTCACTGTGAATTCATGTGTGCAGCTGACCTGCTGTTTTCCAAAGATGGTTCCTTGAAGTCATTCACCACCTCTGCCTCTTACAATTTTTCTGCTACCTCTTCTGAAATGAATCCTCAGGCTTTGGTTGGGTGAATACCACATATGTTTTCCCTTTATGGCTGAACATTCTATAGTCTCATAGTCTGTAAGTATGGGGTCTCGGCCAGTATGGGGTCTCTCTGCATTAATCATCTACTACAAATACAATCTTTTGAGATGAATTGATCTATGGGTACATTGATAAATATTAGTAGTCAAATTAATACCATGTATATTTAGAATAATGAGAGTATGTTCTTCCCATAGTCTCTACCAATCTATGAAAATGGGATGTCTCTCCATTTCTAGTGTCTTTCACAGTCTCTATCATTCTGTGAGCATGGGATGTCTTTCTGATTCTTAGTGTCTTCCATAATCTCTTCCCTCAGAGATTTAATGTCACATTATAGGAGTCTGTGACTTCCTTGGTTAGATTTATTTCTAGATAATTTTTGATACTATTGTATATTGGAGTATGTCCATGATTTCCTTCTCAGCATGTTTGTTATTGGTATACAGAAATACCACTGATTTTGTGAGTTGATTTTATATCTTGTCACTTTTCTGAAAATGTTGATCATTTCTAGTAGATTTCAGGTAGAATTTTGGGGCTCTCTTATGTATACTATTATATAATCTATAAGTAGGAATAATTTGACTTCTTTTCTTATTTGTCCCCTTTTGATTTTCTTTTATCTTCCTGACCTAGCTAGGGCTTCAAACACTATAATGAAAAGGAGTAGGATTATTAGACAGCCCTGTCTAGTTCCTTATCTTAATGGGATTGTTTCAAGTTTTCTCTATTCAGGGAAATGTTGGCTCAGGTTTTGTCCTATATAGGCTTTATTATGCAGACTTGTTTTCTCCAACCCAACTCTTTCTGAGACTTATATCATGAAGGTGTGTTTCATTTTTAAAAGCCATTTTCTGCATCTATTAAAATGATATGTCATTTTTACCTTAAACTCCACTTATATGATTAATATTGTATTTGTTGATTTATGTATATTGACCAATGCCTACAAATTGGTGATAAAACCAACTTGGTCATATGACAATCATTTTGACATATGCCTGTATTCAGTTTTTAAGTATCTTACTGAGAATTTTTTATGCATGTTCATCATGACTATTATAGTAACACTAACTTTGTAGAAAGGGTCTGGAAGTGTTTCTCTGTTTCTATTTATTAAAATAACATATGAAGTCTTGGTTGAATGAATCTTAAAATTTGTTCAATTCTTTTAGATTTTATAGTTTAATGGAGTATAAGTTTTACAGTATTCCCTTTAAAAATTGTGAATTCCTTCACTGTTTGTTGTAATGTTTCCTCATTCATTTCTTAGTCTATTGATTTGGGTCTTCTTTGCCTTGTTTAGTTGAGCTAAGGGTCTGTGGATCTTCTTTATCTTTTCGAAGAATCAGCTCTTAGATTCATTGATTCTTTGTATTTTTATTTATATTACATTAATTTATGCTTTGATTTTATACATTTTAGGCATCTCCTGGATTTGGGCTTTTTTTCTTGTTTTTACAAATCTTGAGTTGCATCATTAAGTCATTTTTTCCTAGTTCTGATTTTCTTGTTGTAGGCATGCATATGTTCGAAGTTTCCTTCAGTGCTTTGGTGTGTCCCAGAGGCTTTGTTCGTTGTGTTTTCATTTTCCTTTAGCTCTAGGAAATACTTAATTCATTTCTTGATTTCATCTTCAATTTCTTCATTTTACTAACGAGTTAGTATCTATGAGTTATAGTAATTGATAGAAATTTATTTGCTATTTATTTCAAGGTTTGTAACATTGTGGTCAGAGAGGCACACAGAGTTATTTCATGTTTTCTGGATGTATGAATATTTGTGTATGCGTGTTCTGCATTTTACTTAAGTTTCCATTGGCTAATGAGAAGAATATGTACTCTTTGGTGTTTGAGTATAATAGTCTATAGATGTGCATTAGGTACATTTAATGTAAGATGTAATTTAATACTGATATTTCTATGTTCATTTTCCTCAGATATATAGGAGAAGAAAGGGGGTATTAAAGTCACCTAATATTGCATAATTGGAAGTAATATGTGTCTTAAAGATTAGTAATGTGTTTTTATGAAACTGAGTGGGCCAGGATTTGGTGAACATGTTTAGAATTGTAATATCTCCTTGGTTAAATGTTTCCTTGATTAGGATGAAGTGTCTCTGTCTGTCTCTTTTGATTAACTTTAGTTTGACATCTACTTTTGTCAGATATTCGGAGAGCAATATCTTTTTGCTTCTTGGTCCCATTTTCTTGGAATATTTCCCCCATTCTTTCACTTTAAAGTGGTATCTATCTTTGAAAGTAAGGTAGATTTATTACTTAGGCAACAGAAAATATGGATTTGGTTTATTAAACAAACATGTGCCTTTTGATTGGAGGCTTAAGGGCCATTCACATTTAAGTTATTATTAGTGTGTGCTGATTGTTGTCATTTTGATTTTGTTGTTGTTTGCTGTTTGTGTTCTTAGTCCTATTCTGTTTTTTCAGCAATTCTAAATTTATTTGTTTTCTTTCCATAGTCTATTGGCTATGCTTATTCCTCTCTTCACTCCAAAGTATTGTTCCCCCATAGTCTCTCAGTAGGAATAGTTAGGTGGATATGAATTCTTTTAGATTGCTTATACCACATGCCCAAGTTTTTCTTTCTTCAATTATGGCAGATATTTTTGATGGGTACAGTAATCTTGCTTGACAGCTCTAGTCTTTTAGAACTTGAAGTACATTGTGTTCTTCTTACATTTAAAGTTTCTATCAAGAAATAAGGTATTATTTTAATGTCTTTTTGTGTACATGTGACTTGATTTTCCTCCTGCACCTTCAATATCCTCTTTTTGTTAGTATATTTGGTATTTTATGTACTTAGAATATGTCTTATCTTGTCTACTGTAGTTTGGTTCTGTATGAGTGCATACTTCCTCAATTTGGGGGAAATTTTATTCTATGATCCTGTTGAAGATCTAGCCTATGCCATTGACCTGGTATTCTTCTCCTTTATCCATGCCTATAATTCAAAGGTTTGCTCTTTACACAGTGCCCCTCAGTTTTTGTATATTTCATTCATGCTATAAAAATTCCTATTCTTTGTTTGAGTGGCCTTCTTTCTCCATTTTGTCAAGTCTTGATGATCTGTCTTTTACTTGATCCATTCTACTTGTAATGCTTTGCCCCTGTGTTTTGTAATTGCGTCCTTTCAAGTACTTTTCAATTTCAACTTGAGTCTCATTCAATATTCCTATACCTTTACTCAATTCAGTTTCTAAATCCTGAATCTTCCTCTTCATTTCATTCAGTCGTATGTTTATATTATCTTAGTCACTATTCAGGCACTTATTTTTGTCCCCTTTAAGTTCATCGAGGTGCTTGGTCATGTCTTCTTTAAACTTGAATTCTCTGATAAGGTTTATTATTGCTCCTTTAAATTCAGTGTTATTGGGATCATCTAGGTTTCTCTTTAGGAACCTTCCTGTGGACCTATGTTCCTATAGACTGGTAGACATGGGGATGCCTTTCCTACTGCTTGTGTTTTTATGATGTGACCTGGGCACGTGGATTTCTATCATTGGTTGTGTGTCTGACATAAGAGTCTAGCCTAAGAGTTTGTTTGGAGGTTCTAGCAGAGGAGCACAGTTACTCATATACCCTTCACTGAAGACAAGTCCTGCTCTTCGACTGATTGCGCAGCTTTGGGAGGGGCACACATGGAGCCCTAAGGGAGGAAGGGAACACCCGCCTAGCCAGCCACATCAGCCAAATCAACCCTGGCGTTCAATGGGGTGACAGATGTCTCAGCCAGATTGAACTCACATGCGACCATGAAAGAGTCATCCTCTGTTTGGCCCCAGGAGGTCTGATGACTATGTTCACTGTCCAGTTCTCTGTGATCTTCTTGTGCTGGGTGCATGCAGTTTGGTGATAAAAATCAAATAAAATCATTTAATTGTGATCATTACTCAGGGCCAGGCAGGTGTTCTGGCTTTTCCAATCTCTTGTTCTAAGCCCTGTACTTCAACCTTATACTTTAAAAAACTTCTTCTAAACTGAGACATGAAATTCATTTTGATCTGATGTAAATAGGCTTCAAAAGTATCTCCTTTATTAAAACACTAATTGTATATCCCCCACTTGTCTTTGTGCTCATTCTTCAAATCATTGTCAACTCCTACAGCAGTTGGGCTTATCTGGTTTACAGGTGCCCTGTAGCCTGGTATGGGAAGGGCAACTGGAGCGGAGACAGAAGCCCCCATGCTGGAGGCATCGGTATTGGTCCGTTCTGCGTCCAAGACTTGTGAGAACACCCGCACCTGCAAGGGGAGAACAGATGTGTTTAGACATTTAGTTTTAACCACGAAGATTGGAGAATATTTGGTAAATGCAAGGCAGACAAATTGGTAGTACATAAGAGAATTCTCTCTCACAGGCAATTGCTATGAAATTAATCTTGAGGCCAGTAAGGAAGCCACACTGCAATAGTCCAGTATGAAGAGAGGCTCATAAGCTCCCACCCTTAACCAAGGAACTATTGACAGTTGATAGTTTCTGGGGAAGAAAATTCATTTTTTAAAAAATATAGCTCCTTGTAGTCAACTATTCTCCAGTAGATGGTACCAAACCCATAAATATATGCCACCATAAATTGAACTCAGTGCATTATTTAAAAGGGGATCATGGATGAGAAGTCGGGAGAGATGACAACATGGAGGTAGACCTAGGAGGAGTTGGGGGAAGAGTAGGAGGGTGGATATAACTAAAATACATTGTTTTAACTAAAAAACAATGGAATCCTGAAATTTGCAGGCAAATGGATGGCACTAGAAGAAACCATCCTGAATGAGGCAACCTAGTCACAAAAAGAGAAACATGGCATATACTCTCTCATATATGGGATTTTAGACATAGATCTGGGGAGTGCCAGCCTACAATCCGATGGCCAGAGAGTCTGGGAAACAGAACCTTCATTCAGTGGCTGATGGAAGAAGAGGCAGACTCCCACGGCTAAGTACTGAGCTGAACTCAAGAAAGCCAGTAACAGAGAGGGAGGACTGATGACCAAAGGGATTAAGACTGGGCTGATTTAACTCCTAGAAACAGCTGACCTGACAAGGGTTAGCTTTCGAATTCCAGGATGATGCCTGGGAATCCAGCATGGGACTGATCAAGAACCCCTGAATGTGGGTGTCAGTGAGGAAGCCTAGGTAATCTATTGAGCCTTGGGCAGTAGGTCAGTATTTATCCCGGGTATACAAATGGACTTTGGACTCCCATCCAACAATGTGAGATGCACTCTCACCTTGAACTCTTGGGGGGGGTCTAGACCCTGCCCTGGATGAAATGACAGACTATGGACAGCCCCATGGAGGGCCTCACCCTCCCTGGGGAAATGAGGGGATATTGGTAGGGGTTGGGGGGAGGGCACGGGAGGAGGGGAGGGAAATGGAGAGGGACCTGGAACTGACTTGCGAAGCAACCTTGTTTCTAATTCAAATTTAAATTAAAAAATAAATTATAAAAGACAAAAACGACAAATGTTGAAATATTTTTGCATTTTCGTCAGCTTATATTAGAATAAAATTGGGAATTATTAATAAGAGAACAGACACAAGTCCATGAATATACTGAAAAATATGAAGTTTGCCCTTGAAACATCAGTATGTAACTGGAGAAATGAGTGAAAGTATTAACAACTTCATAGAAGTAAATGAAACTGAATCAACTAATTACTGTAGCCAAGGCACTATAAGGACTTTTGTAGTTACCGTGCTTACAATAAAAAGACCTCAAGTAAGCCAAAGACACACCTTAGCATATTAAAAATGTAATATCAACAATCCAAACATTAAACGAGTACAATAAATGCCAGCCAGAGCTGGAAGTAATGAAGTTTAAACCAAGAAACAGTGCCAAGTATCAATGAAACAGAATTGTTTCTTCAAAAAGTGTTGGGTTCCAGCCCCCATGGATTTCTGTGCATTGCTTGTCAGCTGATAACCACAGATGCATCCTGTTCTCTAGTCCTGACTTACAGCCCTGGCCTTGCCTACCTGATGTCAATATCTAGCACGAGGAAAACATGAGCTCTTACACCTGGGGTTTCTCCACTGTGCTGTAAGTCTGTATATAAGGCTGCTCACTCCTTACGGCACACACACAGGCAGACATACAGACATGGCATATTCTCTCTCTCTCTCTCTCTCTCTCTCTTCTGGCAATAAAGGCAGCAGATGTTCTTTTAGCACAAACAGCCAGACATCTCCCCTTTCATTTCCTGATATCTCAGATTTGTTCGTGGCACAGGCACCACAGAAAAGATAATCAAGATAGAGAAATTCATTACCACATTAACTAGAAAATGAAGTTAAAAAAAGTGAAAATGAAAGCCAATAATATTCAAGAAGAATAAAGGAATAATATATCAGATAATTCTGAAATCCAGAGTGCCACTACAGAACATCTGGAAAATTATACTGACATAAATTATATAATATAGAAGGAATGGCTATATTATTAGACACATTTGACCTATAAACATTGAATGAGATAATGTAGATCCACAGTGAGCAATAAGATGGAAGATGTAGTTAACAAAGAAAAACTCAGTACCAGAAAAAATTAACCATAGCTTTCTACCAGGTCTTTAAATAACCTCACACTATTCCATAAAATAAGGAAAAGAATATTTCCAAATTATGTAAAGTAGTTATTAGACCAGTACAAAATTAGATAAAATTTAACAACAAAAGAAAACTATATACCAATTTCCTTCATGAACATTAATTACATCCTTGAAAACTGGCTTTAATTACACATTCAAAAGTTAGTACCGAATGATCAAGTGTATTTCATTCCATGTGTGTAAGAGTGGTTCAGTGTGTGTGAAACAGACATAGTGAAGCCCATAAATACAAGGAGGGGAAATTTTTTTCATGATCATGACAATAGATAACTTTGAACAAACCCTGAAGAAACCAGGAATAGAAGGATCATGCCTCAGTGTAACAAAGTTTACATGTGACAAACATCATACTGGTTGGGGAAAAGTTGTTAACATTTCCTTGAATAGCAGGAATGAGATGACTGCATGTACTCTCACCATTCTTATATAATACAGTATTTCTACTAATGACTTCTCTGTTGCTGTGATAAAATATCATGACTTAAAGCAACTTAGAGTATAATGGGATTTATTTTGGTTTATAGTTGTGGGATTGGGGATAAAGCCCAAGACAATGGGAAGGCCTGGCAATAGTCGAGAAAAGCATGGTAGGAGGAACAGGAAGCCAGCTGATCATATTTCATGACACAGGAACCAGGGAGACAGAACAGGAAATGGAGTGAGGCTATAAACCCTCAGAAGCCAGTGACTTATTTATCCAGCAAGGCTGCCCCTTCTGAAGCTTCCATAATCCATCCCTCCAGCGCCATCTGCTTCTGACAACATGTTAAGATTCATGAGCCTATGGGGGAATATTTCTTGTTCAAACCATAACATCCTCCCTATGGCCCCCTAAGGCTCATGGTCATCTCATGATGAGAATTCATTTAATCCAATTTCAAAAGTCCTCATAGTCCTCAAGAGTCCTAACACTGTTCTAATACCCAGAGTGTCTTCTGAGACTCGAGCCAATCTCTTAACTGTGACCTCTGTAAAAATGACAAAACAAATCATACACTTTCCACATTGAACAGAATATACCTTGCCATTCCAAAACCGAGGAATGTAGGCATAGCAGGAAAGGCTAGACGTGTTATGGAAAAATTTAAAGCCATCATGGAAAAACAAAATTCTGTAGGTCCAAGTACAGCATCTGAAGTCTCAGTTTCAATAGGTTTAGAAGGATCTGGTTCCCTAGCTTTGCTGCCTGCAGCATACATTGTTCTCTTAGACTGACTTCTTATCCCATTCCCCAAACACAATTCTCCTTGACAGATAGCTCATGGCTCTGGCATCTCAAGCATCTTGGGATCCCTGCTGCAACCCAGGTTTCACTATGACAGTCTCATGCCACGGCCCCTTGGGAATTCCTTGAAGGAACTCTAGCCCTGCTTCACATTGCCTGGTCTCCTTAGTTCTCTGAAACTTCAGAGGAAAAAGCCATGACCTCCTTCATTTGCAAAGTGTTTGTCCTCAAAACAAGTACCACATAAACAACATTGTCAAGTTCTGATTCCAGTTTGAGATGGCCCTAGCCACTTGGATCTCAGTTGCAGAAGCTTCTGAATATAGCTCTTTAATAACATGGAGGCCCATTGAGTGTAGTCTCACCTTCTTAACATGGAGGCCCACCCAGTGTGGCCTCGCCCTCACAGAACCTTTCCTGTTGTTCTTGTGCAGATAGTGCAGCTTTTCTTTAACAATTACAAGCTCCTTTTCAGCATTTGACTGAAGTCTTAGGTTTCCCAGTGACCCTTTCTTCCTAAACTGCACACTTTTTATTTCTTCATACAAAGTTTGTTGCTCCCTGATTGTAAAGCTGCATAATCGTCGTCATTAATAACAAGGCTGCAGACTCAACCTTGTCCTACGTTGAAATTTTCTCCACAACAACAAATCAGTCCATTACTTTTTAAATTAGCGTCACAGAAATTCTTGGGCCATGGGCAGAATGCAACCAGATTCTTTGGCAAATTTTTTTTATGAATGACCTCTATCTCAGGTAGAATTTGAATCGTTTTCCCCTTTGAAATCTCAAGAGCCAGGCCTTTACTGTCTGAATTTGTTTCATTATTCCAGGATTCTGAATTCTTCCAGGATTCCATTAGAACAGCTCATTTATCTCTGTATACAAAATTAAGTGACTTTTCTAGTCTAAGGTTCCAAATTCTCCCATGCTCTTCAGAATATGACCTGGTCTTGTTCTTCACAGCAACAACTCTACTTTCCTGGTACCAACTTCACTGTAAGTTACTTGTCTGGTGGGAGACCAGGACAAAAATAATTTAAGACGGAAAAGGGTTTATTTTGTCTTATTGTTTCAGAGAGATAGACTCTATCATGCTTAGGATGGCCTGATGTCTTGGTTATGTTCTGTCACTGTGACAAAACACAGCACCCACGGCTTCAGCAACTGATATGGAGGGCCCTGAGTACCCAGATACAGAAGACTTGATTCTGCCACTCAATCTTTACAAAAATGGACCTGAATTGTACCAAAGACCTTGATAGCAGACTTAAAGCTTTAAAGTGACTCCATCAACACAAGGAAGTCATGTAAAGAGAAAAGGCAAAGACTTTCCAAATAGTACTTAGTGATACTTGGCTTCCAAATGTCCATCAAAAGGCTCATGGTTTAAGGGTCTGCTCTCT